ATAGATGGTACAATGAATGCTGCAGCATATCAAAGTATTTTGGAATCAAATTTAATGATTTCAGCTGAAAATCTTAAATTTCCTGACTGGATTGATTCCAACAAGATAATGATCCCAAGTACACTGCAAAATCTACGACAAAATGGCCTGGTGAAAATAATATAAATATCCTGAAATGGCCAAGTCAGTCACCAGATTTAAACCCAATCTCAAATCAATGGCGTTATTTGAAAATTCAAATCCAATTGAGTGCTCCAAAAACATCCAGGATCTGAAGAACATACACACCTAGTCAAAAACTTAATACCAGATACAAAAGGATTAAAAAATATAAAATACTGTTACTTTAATCAAAATATATTTGCGAAACATTAACATTTATAAAATGTAGTTTATCAACAAACAAGTGAAAATTTTAAGCTTTTAATTGATTAATTTAAACAAACATTAAAAAAAGGATTTTTTTGGTTGGTCATAAAGATAAGCCCATATGTAAAAAAAAAAACAAATTACTAGACAAACATTTTAGAACTAGTCAGTGTGCTCATAGCTTCAGGCGTGTAGAGATTTACGTAGCACATTTCCAGTATCAAATTTCAGATTTTAAAATAGTTAAGGGTAAAATTTTAACTAAGTTCGAACAGAGCAGGATTGTTGAACTTCAAAGACGTGGTCTTTCGCAACGAGCCATTGCAAATGAAAATGGTCGTAGCAGAACTGTCATTGCTAACTTCATTAAAAATCCGGATGTGTATGCTTCTAAAAATCAAGCGGTTGCCCCAATAAAATCTCACCATTTATAGACAGACGCATTAGGCGAGAAGTTAAGAGAGATTCAAGCCTAACATCAAATTAGATTAAAGCGAATACAGACGCTCTCGCAATGCAAATGCATATAAGAAAGCGTTTAAGAGCTTGAAAACGGCTGCAGAGGCATCGCCTTCTTCGCCATAAAACCTCCTGTTTACAATTTGCCTCCGATTATCAAACTTGTGATGTGGATAAACGAAAGAAAGTTTTTTTTCAGACGATAAAAATTTCTATTTTGATGGTCCAGACGATTTTCAGCATTACTGGGATGCAAAAGATGTCCCAAAAGAAATTTTCCCAACACGACACAGTGGAGGTGGATCAATTATGGTCTGGGGTTCATTTTCGTACAATGAAACTCTTTAGTTACAGGAGGTAAAAGGTGACCAAACAAATGCTAGTTACATTGACATGTGAAGAAAGGCATCGCTAATTACTGAAGGTTTTCATCTATGTGGAGAAAACTGGATTTTCCAACAGGACAATGCTCTCCAGATCGAAACCCAATCGATAAATTGCAATAGATGTTTTTAAACATGGATCGCAATTTGAAACTGTGGATGCTCTTCTTGCTGCAGTTTGGGCGAGCATCCCAAGCACCCTCATGCAGAAGTTAATAATGATTTTGACAAAGCGAATTTTCGAAGTAATTCGCAAAAATGGAGGATATGCTGAGAATTAATTTGTCGTTGTGAGTCATTTGTTGTGTATTTGCTATTTTTACTTACATGGTCTTGTTTTTATGACCAACCAAAAAATCCTTTTTTCAATGTTTGCTTAAATTAATCAATTAAAAGCTTAAAATGTTCATTTGTTTGTTGATAAACTACATTTTCTAATTAAATGTAAATGTTTTGCAAATATATTTCGATTAAAGTAACAGTGTTTTATATTTTTTTAATCCTTTTGTATCTGGTCTTAAGATTTTGATTATGAGTGTATTTGCAGAAGAATGGAACAAAATACCAGCTAACATTTTCAGATCATTAATTGAGAACTACAAGAGGTTGGTTCCTTTAGAAGTGAATAATGGCTGTTCTACAAAGAATTAAATGAAGATTATATATTCTTTTTTTGTATTGAACGAATACTTTTTAACCCATTAAAGTGGATAAATAGGATTTATTTCTATTAATCCATTTTTTCTGTTTTCTATGTATATTTAGTTATTATGCATATGCGTACAGTTAATTATCTGAAAAGTATGTTTATTCATTAGTTGGAAATAAAATAAATTAAAAAATTTGTATGTGTACGAATATTTGTAGATAATCTTATGTATCATCGTTATGTGGATGATACCTTCTGCCTCTAATAATGAGGCTGAAGCCGAAAAATTTCTCACCAAATTAAACTCTGTCCATCCTGCTCTTAAGTTCACCGTAGAAAATGAGTCCAATTCTTATCTTTCCTTTTTGGATGTTCTTGTCCATAAGAGTATTGACAAGTTTGAGGCTTCTGTATTTAGGAAGGCCATTTTTTCGGGACTTTATACGCGTTGGGACACTTTTTGTACCAGAAAACGTAAGATTAATTTGATTAAGACCTTAATTCACAGGGCAATTAAGTTATGTTCTGAGGGTCTTCTCTACGGTGAAATTGACTTTGTTAGAATGACACTATTAAAAAAAACAGATATCCCTTGGATGTTTTAGACTCTTTTATTCAAGACGTCATCAGTAAATTCTATAGGTTGAAGCCGCAATTAGCTGATAAATGCCCAGTTTATTTGCGTCTTCCCTATATTGATACAGAGGGTGAGAGTTTATCGAAACGTATTTCACGTTTAATCAATAGTTGTTATTTTTCGGCAAATGTTAGGGTAATATTTGTTACCCGTCTTGCGTTCTCTTCCATTCGTAAGGACGTCCTCCATCCCCATCATGTTAATTCAGTGATATACCAATACAAGTGTAGTTGTGGATACGACTACATAGGGAGGACGTCCCAGCGTTTGGATTCGAGAATAAAACAGCATTTACCCCCCAGGGTTTTGAATCCGTCCTCCAGGAATAGCCAACTGACTAACAGTTCTGGTTCTGCTATTGATGAACATTTAATAAATAGAAGGAAATGTGTGGAAAAATTTTAGTGGTGACCAATTTATAATTTTATCTAGGCCCCATTCCACATTTCACCTCAAGGTGCTAGAGTCCATGTATATCAGATCTCGTGAGCCTTCCCTTTGTAAACAGGGAATGCTTGCTGGGCTTGAATATTATTGGACTCTAGTTTCTTGAAATTCATAATTTTTTTCCCTATTCGATTACATTCGTTAATTAAAAATTAATTTACACGCTTTTTAAATTCCCAGAATAAATAAACTTGAAACCGGTTGTTTATTTTAGCTTTTGCTTTTAAAAATGCCTTATAAATATTGTCTTTTCCTATCTATTATTAAATTCTGTACCCCCAAAAAATATGATTCCAAAACGCTACATAAGAGGTCTCATGTTTCAAAACAAGAGCCGAAAACTTCATTATAATCCTTTAAATTAAATTGAGTTGAAAGTAAAATGGGCTCCGTTCCATCTTCAAGCGAAATTTTTGTTGGAATAACGTATATCTGAAATTTACTTGTTTTAAAATAGAAATCAAAATCCCCATGGTAACAGCTATGGTGAATTGTCTAAATTGGGTAGGCGAGTGTAGGGTTTTCATAATAAGTAGCGGTATAGAGATACTTTTCAGGGTGTCAAGTCGGGGAAAGGTGGGGGTGTCAAAAATGAAACGGAAGATGTATTGGCCATCGTCTAGTTTGCTTGTCTATGGAGATTTATTTATTTATTTTATTTTATTTTATTATGAAAGGGAATTGTGCATATAAAAAACTTTCGTAACGTTTGTTTTTTGACGACTTCATAAAGGGTTATCTTATATGTAAGGTATTTAAACTACTAATTCAGGCTATGGATTATGAAGTGTGTTATGTTGTATGCATGTTTGTAGTTAATTATTCCTACTATGAATCTGATGATTGGGCTATTTGTTAAACAAGTTATATAATTTTTTTTTTTAATTTATCTAATAATTCAAACCAAAAATCTGATGATGCTTACAAAAAACCGTTAACTCGTATATATATATATATATATATATATATATATATATATATATATATATATATATATATATATATATATCATACTCATTGGATCGACTATAATCCGAATATTACAATTTTCCATCCCGATTTCCAATCGATCTTTAATAAGCTTGTATCTGTAATCAGCTTGTCAATGAAGGGTGTTTCTAATCACCCACAAGGTCCTTTCCAGTGACCATGTATGACCCAGGGGAATAACTTTCTGAGGCATTTTATTCGCCCTTCTCCAGCAGGTGTCAACTGAAGTTCACTTTCCAATCAGCAGCTGTAGTCGTCAGGTTTGGCAAGTCAAAATAGAACATATGGTAAGCGATATGTTGCTGCCAACTGATATTTATTTGACCACTCTCAGCCTCTTTGTCAATGGCCCGTCAACTTTTTCTTCGATAGAGTCCATGGATTCAAGCCAGCCAGAACATTTTTTCCACTGATATTCCGAAGAATTCGACTTTGATTTTACATAGTAGACTTGATTCCCATTCGATTCCTGTCTTTTATGGTGATGCCATCGTTTTTTCCAAATATCTATCATCTTACTACATGAGTTCATCCAGGAGCCAAAATACAAAAAATAAACAAACAAACAAAAAAAAAACAGCTACTGTCTTGATGGCGTTGCCTGCAACACTTGTTAGGTCAGCTTTCTGTTTGTTGTACGACATGTACTCAGTTTTGCTGTCAATGATATACAATGCAATTTAGTTAGCAGAATTTCCGACTCGATACAGCAAATGCGCATGCTTCAGTTGATATGACAACAAGACTATGTCGTCTGCAAAGTCTCGTTGTCGTTTAATTTTGACTTTGCTCAGTCGAGTTTCCAGATACCATCTTTGAAGATTTTTTTTTCTGTTTCCTGGTTCGTAAGTAATTAGTTTTCAAGATAGAATTCCACATTTCATTGAAATTTTACCATGAAAACAAATTACTTATATACAAACACGTATAATCTGAATATCTATTTTTCTTTGAATCCCTTTAAAATATCCATTTATTTCCAGAAAAGGGTTCTATAAAGATAAGAGAATTTTAGACGCTCTGTATTTTAGACCGTGTCTAATGCCAAATCATTTTTATAGAATAAATGCCACTCTTTCGAGTTAGAAATGATTACCATTTTCTTGTCCAAAGCTGGTTTTCTTCTTATTTTTTTTCATCTTGTTCAGTAGACGACAAAATATATAATTCTATTTCCCAGTAAAGTATAGATCTTTCAAACAAGGAATTTACTTCATTTTCTTTGTTAATAAAAAATGCTTCAGATACAATCTTTCGTCGATAAGCGAGCATACGTTTGACAAATGGTTCTGCTTTGATAATGTAATATTCTGCCTTCATAAAAAGGAGACTCGTTCTTTGTCGATAACAGCCAAGAGTTTGAAAAAACATTTTTCCAGAAATCGTTGTACAGATTCATTTGTTTTGCGTCTAGAGTTTTAAATGCACATTTCCTTGAATAACAAATGATTTTTTCAGCACACCTACGTGATGATAATATATAAATAATATGATTAATATAACTCCAATAATAATAATAATAATAATAATAATCCAAACAGTGTTGGATTAGCGATAAGGAAGACAAAGAATGATAGATATAGCAGTACCAAGAGCTGTAAGTGTAATTTAGAAAAAAAATAAAAGGGGAAAACATATCAACATTTAGATTTGGTTTGGTTTGATTTGTTTTACGGCATATCAACCTCAATGGGTTATTTAATGCCGACAAGATTTTTATTGCTGTTTATATTATCTATCTATCTATCTATCTATCTATCTATCTATCTATTGGTTTGTTTTACGGCATATCAATCTCAATGGTTTATTTAATACCGACAAGATTTTTATGCGTGTAATATTTTTTTCAAAAAAATATTGCTGGTAATAATATTTTGCTGGAAATATTTTTTTTCCTTCAAAAATATTTTGCTGGTATTTTTTTTCTAAAACATATTGCTGGTAATAATTTTTTTTTTTCCAAAAATGCATTGCTGGTATTTTTACACTTTTATAGTAGGGGTTAAATACTTGCCCATAGCAGATACTTCCCCCCAGGGTCAGGGTGGACCTGGAAACATCAGCAATTAAGTGGTGATTCCACGCTCCTCAAAACCTCCTGATCAGAGGCCCTGCTGTCGGATGTACTTTATCGTCTTACCTAGGGCGCGGATGTAGTTTATCGTCATACACAGGATTTCAACATTTGGAACATCAGAGTATTATGAAGTTTTAAGAAAAGTGGCAGTTTTTTTTCTCTTTTTGCTGTGTGCGCCCGTCTAACAGTGAGAAACAAAATACAAAATGGCTCAGTAAAATTGGAACTGAGAGGCTTAGGCTGCCATAAGTCTGAGAAAGGTTTTGTTGATGTAAAGAGTTGAAGAAACGAAAGGACGGCTAGTCATTTGTTATAACCCGCTCTTAGATTGTTAAATTACGGTATAAGATGTGCTTGAAAATAGTAATAATAATAACAATAGTAATAAAAAACAAGCGTACCAAACAAGCTGAAAAGACAAACCCCATAACCATCAGTGGCTACGTAGTTCAGGGTTAAAAGCTGAAATCGAAGGTTTTATACCCTTGCTGCACAGGATCAGTTCTTGTTAACTAGAAATTATCAAGGACACATACTAAAATATAGTGTTAGCCCTAAATGCAGGTTCTGTGATAATTACCCAGAAACAGTCGATCATCTTGCATCAGGTTGCAAGGTACTGGCACCCAGTGAACATAAAACCCGGCATGACAGAGCAGGCCAATATCTGCACTGCAAAATCTGTAACTTCTACGGTAAGGAAACTTAAAGAAAGTGATAGGAACACGACCCAGACCCGGTTATAATAATATTAATAATAATAATAATAATAATAATAATAATCGCCCAGACATTGTTATTAAAGACCACAAACCCGGTTACGGAGATAGGACCTGTTACAATTTTATGGGACGACACAATACACACTGACAGAACAATCAAGGCTAACCTCCCAGAAATTCTTATTAGTGACCGCAAAACAAAAAAATGCCTCCTTGTTGATATGGCAGTCCCTGCAATGTATCTTTGAAGATCTTCAAAAATCTATCAAAATACAAGGACCTTGAAATCGAAATCTCAAAAATGTGGCACATGGCAACATCAACAATCCCTGTTGTAGTTGGAGCCCTCACGATTATCGGAAAAGATTCCAATAGGCTCATTGAAGGGATTCCTGGAAGCCCATGCCTTAAAGGAATAAAAAATTCTCACGACTACAGCCCAAACCTTACGAAGGGCTTTATCAATGTAAAATATATGTGTGCATTTTTTTTGGTTTGTTTTTTGGGGATTTTTTTTCGTTTTTTTTTAATTAGTCAGTGGAAAATGTCATGATGCCATTTCTGACCTTTCGTCTCTGGGATGGACCCAGAAAAAATGTGTACACACCATAAATTAAAGGAAATTATAATAATAAATAATAATAATAATAATAATAATAATAATAATAATAATAATACAGACGAAGTTATGACAAAGTAGCCCGCTGAAACGTTAGTAACTATGTTGGAAGCATGATCTCAGGTACGCGGAGAAGTGGTACGGGCATTTAACACCGTAAGTTACTCCGAATAAGCATTTTGACTGATAAGCGCTTGGAGAGCAATGACTCTGGTATCTCAATTTCGCAACTGGGTAGCACTGAATGGCTCCCGATATCAGCTGCTGTACCTTTGGCGATGCAAATCAAAATCCCCTGAGATAACAAGACCTGGCTAGACAGATCGGCGAAATGTACCAAGCAACAGCTCATGTTATCCTTTTTTTGTGGATGGCTCCCTCGGGACTATTTCCAAGGTAAATTTCTCTCTCGCAAGACGCCTTGGAGATACCTGATATCCTTGGAAGTGCTTTGCTTGCAATGTGCAAAAAAAAAAAGCGTTGTGCCAGGAAGCTACGTGTAAACAAAAAGATAAAACTATTGTCACCAGGCCAAAACATCTAAGAGTTGGAGGGGATCGCAAAGCCTTAATAATAATAATAATAATAATTATTATTATTATTATAATATGTTGTGGTAGGATCCACCTAATTTGCATAGTGGAGTACCGACCATATAAATATGGTTGGTACCGGGAAGAGAGGGCGGAATCAAGAGATTCAACCAGAGACTTTGCCCGACTGTGACTCAGTCAACACATTCTCCAGGAACGGTCTTACCAGGAATATACAAAGACTATATGTAAATATTGTGTACACTTTCTTGTTTCAATACATTTTGTTCTAAGTACATTTTGTGTTGCGTTATTATTCCATGCATTAGTCAAGTTTCAACATAATAATAATGATAATAATAATAATAATTGCCAAAGACATCAATAAGTTGAAGTTTTCTTTAATATTGTAAATTTTTTTCATTGATGACATCAGTGTGGATTTCGGATTAGATAAATGTACAAAAGTAACATTCAAGAAAGAGAGAATTACAGAAACACACTAAATAGATGTAAATTTTGTGACAAAGATTAGGGAACTGGAACAAGAAGAAGCCTATAAATACGTTGGATTCAACGAAGGAGAGGGAATACTGCAGACTCAAATGAAGGAGAAAGCAAGAAAAGAATAATACAGGTGTGTACATCTGGTGTTAAATATCTAGTTGAATTCACAAAACAGAATATCAACCATAAACACATTGTCCGTCTCTGTGGCGCAATGCAGTTTCAATCTCCTTAACTGTGTCATAGCTGACAAGAAGCGAATGGATGTCAGAACGAGAAAGCTTTTCACTCGCCACCGCATGCATCATCCCAAAGCTGATGTTGATCGTCTGTATGTGCCCAGATCCGAAGGAGGTAGAGGATTAATTCAACTAAAATAATAATAATAATTATTATTATTATTATATAATACCTAAATCACAGCAAAGGTACTGCCACTTCCAACTGTTTGAATATCCGTCGAGCAATCATTCAAGGATACTCACTGTCGCCCATTCTCTCATGGCCGTTCTTAATCCCCCTTTCGCATGAACTAAATACTGATAACTATGGATACAAAGTAAAAAAAGAAAGTGTTTAATCACCTATTCTACATGGATGATATCAAACACTTTGCCAAAGAAGACAAGGATTTGAAGGGTATCCTTAATACTGCAAAATGTTTCAGTGATGGCATCAGTGTGGATTTCGGATTAGATAAATGTGCAGAAGCAACATTCAAGAAAGGGAGAATTACAGAAACACTCTCAAGGGATCTAAATTTTGCCACAAAGATTAAGCAACTGGTAAAAGAAGAAACCTAGGAGTCAGCGAAGGAGATGGAGTACAGCATACCCTATTGAAGGAGAAAGTAAGAAAAGAATATGACAGGCGTGTGTACCTGGTTGTTAAATACTGAGTTGATTTCGCAAAACAGAACATCAGCCACAAACACTTTGGACGTTTCTGTGGCGTGATGCAGTTTCAATCTCCTTAACTGTGTCATAGCTGACAATAAGCGAATGGATGTCAGAACGAGAAAGCTTCTCACTCGCCACTGCATGCATCATCCCAAAACTGATGTTGATCGTCTGTATATGCCCAGATCCGAACCTGAACTGTCTTACAAAACAACAACTATCAATCTTCATAGATGGAAACTACAGAAGACTAGATGATGATCTGTGTCAAATAACATGAAAGAAACCAGAAACATTATTTCAGTAATAAAGGAAACCAACAAATTCAAAAGAAGACTGAAAGCGGACGAAGAAGAGAAAATAAACAATAATAAACCAACTGCAGCTGTAAATAATCTCAATATAAATGTAATTGAACAAATATAGAAACTATGACAAGAGAAGTCAATATTCTGCCACTGAAAAACAAGCTAATGTAGACAAACCCCATACACAACAGTGGTTACCTAGTACTGTACTGTACTGATGCGGCATTCACCCTGGGCGGATTGAGCCGGCTTCTTCCTGTTATGAGAAGAAGATTCTTGGGATAAATTACAGAAGTAGGGTACCCAGGCCTACTCGGATAACGTTCTTGCTTGCCGCGGGATTCCCACAGACGCAGAGACAGGAACGACCAGAAGCCGCCGGTTACCGATGCAGACGCTCCTTTTGATTTTCACCAGAGCCCTTGTTAGCCGGCGTGTGTGTCAGACCTGTCCGCCTTGGTGGCCCTACCAGGAACGAAGTTCCGGGCGGCATAGCTCTGACTCTACCGTTTACACCCCCCCCACCGACTGTGAGGTAAGGGTTGGACTTTGGGGGCTTACAGTACCAGGTGTTCCCAAGCGGTACCCCATCTAAGTACTGACCTGGCTCTACGATGCTTAACTTCGGTGATCGAACGAGAACCGGTGTTTCAGCGTGATTTAACCGTAAGCCAAGTGCAGGTATAAAAGCTGAAATCAAAGGTTTTATTCTTGCTGCACAGGATAAATGCTTCCTATCTAGAAATTATGAAGTAAAGACACTGAAAATTTCTATTAAGCCGAAATGCAGTTTCTGCTAAGAATATCCAGAAAGAATTGACCATCTTGTATCAGATTTCACAGTATTAGCACTCACCGAATATAAAACTCCGCCTCACAGAGTGGGCCAATATCTGCGCTGGAAAGTTTGCAGCTTTTATGAGAAGGAAACTGGGAAAAAATTGGTATGAATACAACCCAAACCTGGTTACAGATATAGGAGCTGTAGCAATTTTATGGGACTTTACAATATGTACACTGTCCTGGGTAAGACGATAAACTACATCCAATAGCAAGGCCTTTGATCAGGAGGTTTTGAGGAGCATGGAAATACCTCTTAAATGCTGGT